GTTTGTAAACAAAGCTGGCCACGTGAATACGCAAACCATGGACACACTCGCAATGCGCGCTGAATCAAGTGAGCATCTGTGGGCAACTGTGGGCACAGGTTAGCCAGATGAGGACACAGGACGTTCGAGGACAACGAGAGACTTTTATATGCACGAAGACGGACAAAGGGATACACACAACATAAACTCACACATATATACACGCGTTCACGGTCCTACGCGAAAGGGAGTTAATGTTCTTGTTCGTCCACTCACATTCTACTCTTGGGGCGTGAACGTTGCGCTTGACCTTGAGCTCTCTGGTAGTCGGGAGGCGGTGTGCCTTGTGCTTGCGGAGTTCGTACTGAGGCGGGGCCCGGTTTAGAAAATAACCGCCAGGGGCATCCCAGTACGGTGGTCAACGCCTGGGCTTGCCTGTACACCACCGAGAACAGCGTGTCGCCGACTGCCGCGAACAGACCTGGAACAGCGTCTCGCTCCAAGACCAGAACAGCAGCTGGCCGTGACGAACGCCGCTTCAGACCAACGTGGGTGGCGAGGTGGGGCGACGCCCAGTCCAGGACGCACCCGAGGACTTCAACGCCGGGACGAGGCCCGGGCACGGAGGGTCAGAACGAGCAGCCGGGGCGTGGCCCGAACTTGTCCTTGCGCTCTGCTCTCTGGGGTGGTGGGGCGATGCCCAGTCCAGGACGCACCCGAGGACTTCAACGCCGAGACGAGGCCCGGACACGGAGGGTCAGAACGAGCAGCCGGGGCGTGGCCCGAACTTGTCCTTGCTCTCTGCTCTCTGGGGTTAGCCGAGCTGTCCCCGTGGCTCGGGAGCTTTTCCACGTGGTGCGCGCACGAGCACGCGCATGGGCGCGCTCATAATTTTAGCGCTATCACCATCATCATGATTCCCGCGCACCTTGAATTACTAAATCGGCCCCGCACACCGATTTTTCTACGTCAAAGCATGACGCACACTCTCCAGGGCAGCGTTTTATACCACATCTTCCCCCCAGTTCAAGAACAGCGAAACGCTGGGTTAAGAAGGGTCGACATGTTCATAGAGTAGACTAGAATGTTCAAGTGTCTCGCCGGCACCACAGGGCACTGTAATATACACTCAAAGATTTACCGGCATAAAAACGCACTTTGGCAGTGGTATTCTTTACCATCGGCCATCCACATGGACGGATGACAGTGAAAAAAATAAATAATAATAATAAAGCAAAAATATGTGACAAGATTGTGCCACACCTAAAAGAATCTCTACACTTTTCAAGTGTAACTCGACTTCATGTGCCTTGAAATAACATTTCAGCTCTTAGGTTGCCATATTAAAAGCGTACAGCTGGTTTCACTTAGCTGACAATTATTCTCGGTGACTGTGGTTGTTCGTGGACCCAGGAACTCGGACGCGCAGAGCCGTGACCGTGAACACAGAAAATACATTCTCAAGTAAGACGGAGCACAACTGAAAGACATAGACAACTGACACAATACGCATAAACTGAACACATTCAACAATGATAATGCTTTTCTGTGACGATGTACCAAGGGCGTCCACACGGAATGCACGGCACCGCACGCTCGTGACCCGATGCCTAGGCCAACGACCACTCACTCATGCCGTTGCGGCGAACACAGGCGCCGGGCAGCACGATGAATTCGTCGAGTCAAGCTTGGAAGCATCGACGCCGAGTAAGTCGGGCAAACATTATGTCAGCGCGGGGAATTGGTTCCGCGTGCAGTTCGAAGTCCATTGTCGTGTCGCAGTTCATTTCGGAATCGGTCAACCAGGTTTGTACTCTTCCTCCTTTTCTTCCACGTACTAGCGCAGAACCAGAGTTCTTCCTTCCTATGTGCTTCTGTGTACCGCGGTGGCTTCTCGATGTTTATATAGACGGAGGAGTATTCAATCCAAACATCTGGGTCCGAGCGCCAAGGTACGCAGTCCAAAGCACGCCGCATCTTTCGGTTGTCTGGAAGTTCATTTTCCTCCGCATGGTACGGAGTACCATGTTTTGGGCTCACAGCGTTCCTACCTCCACTACTACTCTTGGAGTTCCGGCCCCTTTTGCTCGAATTATGATCATCTTCTGGCTGTGTTTTAGGGTTTTTCAATGCCACTCGATTTTCGTTGGGCTCCGAAGCAAGAGTCTCAGATGCACATGACGTGCTCTTTGTATGGCCGAGAGGTTTCAGCTGACCACTGCAGAGGCCATGCTGCTCTATACTTCCGTCACCTTCAATGCCATCACATGTCTGCTTAACACATTCACTAGCAGACCGTGTACCCAGAGCTACATCACCACGTTCTCCAACACACACTTTTTTGGGTGTACCTGACAGATTTGTGTCCACATCATGGATAACTATCTCATCCTTGAGATTATTGACTTGGTCCTCTTCATTAACCTCCTTAAGCGCTACCCTATTCGCAATCTCTCGGATTTCCAAGATAGCTGTGCTGATCTCAGACAACAGCTTCTCTCCTTCCTGTCGCAAACGCACACGCTCATTGTCATTTTTGCACATGTACCGCAGTTCAAAATCAATTCTCTTTTGTTCCTCATAAAGGTCTTCTTGCAACATTCGCTCTAAGTCGGCGCAAGACCACCCGACCTCCTCTCCAATACAAAGCAGTCTTTGCACGTTTACAGGCATCCTGTGTGCGACCAATTCTCGCCTGAAAGATGTTGAGTGCCGATCCTGGCAAGGCCCATGTCCGTTCTGTTCGCGTGCAATTTCTCTAAATCCATCGGTTCGTCCCGCCCGTCTGGCTCTCGGCAAGAAGGTAAGGCCGATCTATCCTGGCAGGCTCGCCAAAATTTGTGGGCAACTGTGGGCACAGGTTAGCCAGATGAGGACACAGGACGTTCGAGGACAACGAGAGACTTTTATATGCACGAAGACGGACAAAGGGATACACACAACATAAACTCACACATATATACACGCGTTCACGGTCCTACGCGAAAGGGAGTTAATGTTCTTGTTCGTCCACTCACATTCTACTCTTGGGGCGTGAACGTTGCGCTTGACCTTGAGCTCTCTGGTAGTCGGGAGGCGGTGTGCCTTGTGCTTGCGGAGTTCGTACTGAGGCGGGGCCCGGTTTAGAAGATAACCGCCAGGGGCATCCCAGTACGGTGGTCAACGCCTGGGCTTGCCTGTACACCACCGAGAACAGCGTGTCGCCGACTGCCGCGAACAGACCTGGAACAGCGTCTCGCTCCAAGACCAGAACAGCAGCTGGCCGTGACGAACGCCGCTTCAGACCAACGTGGGTGGCGAGGTGGGGCGACGCCCAGTCCAGGACGCACCCGAGGACTTCAACGCCGGGACGAGGCCCGGGCACGGAGGGTCAGAACGAGCAGCCGGGGCGTGGCCCGAACTTGTCCTTGCGCTCTGCTCTCTGGGGTGGTGGGGCGATGCCCAGTCCAGGACGCACCCGAGGACTTCAACGCCGAGACGAGGCCCGGACACGGAGGGTCAGAACGAGCAGCCGGGGCGTGGCCCGAACTTGTCCTTGCTCTCTGCTCTCTGGGGTTAGCCGAGCTGTCCCCGTGGCTCGGGAGCTTTTCCACGTGGTGCGCGCACGAGCACGCGCATGGGCGCGCTCATAGTTTTAGCGCTATCACCATCATCATGATTCCCGCGCACCTTGAATTACTAAATCGGCCCCGCACACCGATTTTTCTACGTCAAAGCATGACGCACACTCTCCAGGGCAGCGTTTTATACCACAGCATCACATTCACTTGTATACAGGTGCGTATAGAGCGCATGCAAGAACCGTGCATGTCAACACAAACCCTTGAGGGAGTTGTCGGTTGTTTGCATGCGAACCCGAGTTGATGTAGATGTCGTGAGGTGCTACATTTCACGGGAATTCGTGCGGCACACCCTTTGAAATCAATTCTAAATATGTTCAACGTTACATTAGCTATTAGGATTTTTTTTTGCGAGACACTATAGACTATCTGTTGGCTGCGTTATACAGAATGTCTCAGAATAAACAACAACAAAAAAACATGACGGTTGCGTTATTACACGTACACGAACTTCGCTAGATCTTCTGTCTTCTATCACCACCAACAAAGTTTTTTGTTGTTGTTGTTTTTATTAGTTATTGAGCCAATGAGTGAGAAAGTCATCACCGAACGACACCTTGTGCGATGCCAGTGCGCGTTGAAAAAAACCCAGGCAATCAAAAGTCTGAGTCGCTTGGACGTTAAACCCCATAAACCAATCGATCAAGAGAAAAGCAAACCGAAAAAACAGCAGTACACGGATAAAGTTAACACTGTTCACAAACAACAGCTAAACCAAAAAAAAACGGCGAAACAATGTTATCGGCGGGCTCTGTTTGACACATGAACCTTGACTCGTTTTCAGAAGAAGAAAAAAAAAAAGAACTCGACAACCGTGTATCAGTAAAAGCCCCCAACCGACCGTGCAGTCAGGCACGGCCGGACTGGAGGAGCGAGAGTGGACGCGTGCCGCTCCTCCAGTCCGGTCGTGAGTCAGGTTCACTACGGACACCGGCCTCTGTGAGATTCCTTACACTGTCTGCCTTTTCACACTTAAGAGTCACCCCTATAAGCATAACTAATGGTGGTAGCGATTTCTCAAAACTATTTTTGTTAGTAGAGCATTAACCAATACTCTAAAAAATCTCTCTCGTGTCGTAATATTCGCACAAAGCAGAGAAATGGGCAATTTATCACACATTTAGAAGAGAGGTCATTCGGGCGTGTTGGTAGTTTCAGCGTGTGTCAGAAACCATAGTGCACATAACAAACAAGAGTCAACATGAAGACGGGACGAGCGCTTGTCCTGCAGGTCTTCATTTTGTCTCGTGTTCGTTATAGTGCACTTCTGAAGTACGGCCTCGTTGGAGTCCGCCCCGCAAACGAGCGGCACGAAAGCGGGTAAAGGGAACGAGGAAGCCGGAGTCCATAGGCGTGCATGTTGTAAAATTTACCGCAATTTTATCTCTCCTTCCCGCGCAGTATCGCCATGACACTTTGCTCGACGGTGCTGGCCATGGGCATGATGCCGGCGAACATGCTGATATACGGCAATTACGTGGATACAGGCGACATTGTGGTGCCCTACTCCAAGATGGCAATGAGCCTCGTCTTCATTTCGCTCCCAGCCGGTCTTGGCATGCTGTTCAACTGGTTCTGCCCGCGGGTGGCACCTTACATCACAAAGGTACGCAAGCGTGCAACGCGAAAGGACAACTTTGTGCGTGCTTCACAGCGGGACGGCTTGCCGCTCAACAATGCTAGAATGAGTCCATCTTGCTTGTTTGGTCATTTTTAAAAGCCAATTTCGCTGTTGCGCGCGTAGCAAACGAATGAACTCGGTGAATTGATATATTGCCATTATTAAAGGCGTGAAATCAACAGGCAGGGATAAAGAACGCAGGACGGACGCGATCGTTTCGTGTTGTTCTGGGGTCCTTGTTTGTTTCAAGCTTTTCGCCGTGGTTGATGTCGCAAAAGGAAGTGCACCACATTAAAACATATGCAAATTGCATGTAATTTATTACACATATTCATTTACACTTGCGGTGGTCTTGTCGACGACGTTTTTCAACCGTTAAAGATATCTATAGTTCCACTAGGTACGTAGTTTCTAGCAGTCAATTACGCGTAACCAGTTACGTCAATAGCGAGAGGGTAGGCTACACAGATTGCGGTACTTAAAATTGACGAGTACTACAGTGCAAAACAACCACGGTCCCGCTCTAAGAAGCTTCACGGTTGCGGGTCCACATATTCGAACAGGCGCATCTACGCGTTCTGCAGTTGTTTCCAAAGAAAACCGAAGAGCTTATAGCGTTTCGCTGCTTACCTCGAAGACGCGGATTCACTTTCCGGCGACGGCAGCCGCATCAATAGAGGAATATACTATAGAAAGAGTGGCCACGCGAGCCTTTTCGCGGCAGATCAAGATAGGGTCTGACCAACCGCTAGAAGGCGTACCCATTACTTCTTTGCCAAGACATGTAATATCCGCCTAAGAAGGACAATGAAAACCGAAGTTTTGCATCAAATGTTTCAAAAGAAGAAATTTTATTGATTTGTGCAATTTTCTATATCCGCTCTACATCGTGATCCGCTGTGGACGTTTAATGCTTTAAGTCTGACTAAAAAGTGTTGCATTTCTGCTTTGTCTTGCACGAAAGGTGACATTCATGTGCTTTAGATGTACTGTGCATGTATTTCCTTTGTGGAAGCACGGATGTGTAGCCTAGTAGTAAAGACACTCGCTTTCGGAGCATGAGGGCACGGGCTCAAATCCCAGCATTGAAAAGAGAAACCTTTGTTATTTTATTTATGCTGAATACATTATGGAGTCTATACAGCATAAATAGCAGCGCAGTAGCTCGGCTGCAGGCCCTACGGGAGTGTCCGCTTTTTTTATGTTTCTTTATGGCCGCATCTCGATGAGGATGAAGTGGAAAAACACTTATGTATACTCATATCGGCTCTGTGTCCTGTTTTCACTCTGTCTCCGTTTATGTGCCCTCTATAGCCTTGCCGCGCTGCTCTGGTGGCTATAAGGCACTCGTCTGCTGACCTGCAGGTCGCGGGATAAAACCCCGGCTGCAGTGGCTGCATTTTCGATGGAGGTGAAAATGCTGTAGGCCCGTGTGCTCAGATTTGCGTGCACGTTACAGAACACCAGATAGTCGAAATTTCCGGAGCATTCCGCTATGGCATCTCTCATAATCATATATGGTGGTTTTGGGGCGTTAAACCCCACATACCAATTAAAGATCTCTAGGTGGTTAAAATTGATCGGGAGTTCCTGTTACTCAGATCACGGTTTGCCACTTAAAACCCGAGAATTTATTTTTTTTTAAATCGAACCGCCTTCGCCATGGCATGAGAGAGGTTAAAAGAGCAAAGGCGGGGAGTTTTTTTTCTTTGCTGAAGGAGTGTTTCCTTGGCCCACGTTAGCTGACTGTGCGTGTATGAGCGAGAGAGGTGGAAGAAGGTGTGTTTTAGTGTGCAGCTGTTTCTAATTCCAGAAATGCAAACAGGACCAGCATTATTGCTCTTTAACTATTGAACAGTGGCGTACCAACTCTTTTGTGAGAGGGTATATATAACTATATATATATATATATATATATATATATATATATATATATATATATATATATATAACTGACAACCCCCTAAAAGTAGGAGAAATGTTTTCCAGAACAAACAGCTCATTCTTTCCGCTCACAATCTCCCAGTGGAATCGGCTCTCACAGAAGGTTGCAGACTGCCACACTGAAACATCTTTCAGGGACATATTGCTACTGTCATAGCTGCATTTTTTATTATCTTTTTTTGTGACCATCTTGTTTTTGAATATTTCTTTTTGTGTAAGCGTATTTTACGTTGTGTATTTCCCCCCTGCAATAATACCCTCGGGCGCTGCAGGTATTTTTAATAAATAAATAAATAAATAAATAAATAAATAAATAAAGGGAATGCGCAGGTGCAGTCTAGCCTAGAGTGCCTCGATGCCCGCTCCTCTGCTCAGAGTAAAGACATCTGCTGTGGCCGCCATTGCCACTCCCGTTGCATACCGGTGTCGCTGAACATGCAGGGGCATGACATGCCCAATAAAGCCGACTCGTGAGCTCTACAGCTTCGTGAAGACGCTGCAGGCACTACAATGGCGGAGGGAGCAGTACGAAAGGTGGCAGCACCCTGAGCGGGGGCACGCTCATCGAGGCACCCTAGTCTAGCCCGGCCGTGGCCGACGGTCGCTTCTCTTCGAGCCCGCCGTTTAGCCACTCTTCAGCAATACGGTGGTTATTTCTTCTCAATTTGAAGTAGTAGATTACTAAAGGTACAAAGTGAAAATTAACTAAGCTGCAAAAAGTATGAACTCACTTTGAAAATGAAGGTTCAGGACAGCGTGACATAAGTTGCTTTCACCAAGCACGTACTCGACGAAATCAATGCTAAGAAAATATTCGTGCTAAATGGGTCTGACTTCATTACAGCTTGGCATATAGACTGCGCAATTAAACATTTGTGTTGAAGTATTACAAATAAAATTGGGATCTTTTCGGTTTAATCACAGCAATTGCGATTTACCGTGCAAGAATTATGTCTGCCTCTGCAAATAATGTAGCTCATTAGACAGAATTCTGTTTTGGGATGCAGAAGACTTTAGAAGGATTTGTCTTTCATACGCAATCACTTATACTAGTAAGAAAGAAAAGTAACGCTGCAAACCACAAATGGTTTCCGGAATTCTGAGAAGTCGGTATACTCGGATCTTGAGTACAGATTTCTTCTCAACAGTCGTCAGGATTACGTAGTCACATACCCTGATTTACGCGAACATCTGACTCGATCTACCATGACGTCATAAACGGTAATGTTCACTTCAAGTAGGAGCACTGCTAATAGATATAGTTTGCAAAACAAACGCCAGAAGGTCAAAGTGAACTGTTTCGATGGCGCATGCCACTTCATCGCTGTGATAGTGAAACGCCCTTTGCCTCAGTGAAGCAACGATTGGTCTCGCACGTCATGTTCATATACACATTGATGCTATTCTGGGGTAATCAACCGTGAGAAGAATTTATTCATCAGGTGGCTATATCTAAACTGGTACTTACAAGCGTGACAGCACTGTTGCTAGGATGTTGCATGTAGACACTATCTGAAATCAATAGCACTTTCTGCAACTAATCTCAACTTGTTTTTCTAGTGAAACGGAGCGCCGAAATTATTCCGCAAAACATGAAGCTAAATAACAGGATGAAATAGCAACTACACACAAGAAAATCTAACGCAACAGCGGCGGCGGTATTCTCCGGCGAGTGCATTCGAGAGAATTTGCGACACTAGATACTAACTTAAGCACGCGCCCACCAGAAAAAAAAAAACGCCGCCAGCAGTTACCCTGATGCATACGATACCGTGAACAACGCAACCTGAAACGCAAGTACGCTGTCGTTTACGTTTCAGAAGCGCGACATGATTGCGAGGCACGCTGCTGAGTAATTGTGGTCACTTCGCATTTTTTAACTTGCTGCAGATGCATTTTCTTGCTGTTCACCCCCGTCTGAGTGCGACAACCGTGGCCGAGAATCGAACCCATGCATCTTCGAAGTAAGCAGCGCGACACCATATAGCAAACCTCATCAAAGCGTGCACGCTGGTGGGCAGGCGCCGTTGGCGTTTCTACTGCAAAAAAAAAAAAGGTTTTTTTTAGTTCTTCATTGTTTTACCAGGAACATCATCGATGCTTCTTCCGTCATTTGTTTTAAGCGTGAGACAAGCAAAAAGTGAGCGCTGGCAGCGCAACGGCGTTCGAAGCGAGTGCGTTCAGTGTGTACGCGCGCCACAGCAAGATTCGCAGAGTCCCTGTCGTGACATGATGCAAGCCTCCCACCAGGCGGCGCCACTTCACCTTCTCGGGGCTGCGCATCGATGACCAGCATTATTAGGTAAATAAGTCGCTGGGGAATGCGCAAGTTGCAAGTATTTTCGCACAATATGGACTAGAAATACACCTGGAAAGTATATAGCATGACACGAGGCACATGAACGCGCGTGCGTTTGTCATTGGCAAAGCTTTCATTCCGAGAAGTTCGCTTAGTTTGTTTAGTTTGACTAAATGTTATTTCTCCCAGAAAATTTTTATTTTCTTTTATATTTCATGTGAAGGCGCATTTCTTCACCATTTCACTAAGTTTTTTCTTCAGATCTAGCCACATGGCGCCATACATCTTAACAGGATAGAAAGGTGCGCTAGTTTGTAGTTTATCTTCATTCAATGACAAGTGTATGCTTCCCATACATTTTCCGCGGTATATGAATGAATGACAAAAAGTCACATCTCTGCCGCAAAGGCGAAGCAATGAACGCGAGAGCAACCAATTGGAAGGTCACGCGCAGAATGGCAAGCAGATCGAAACGTGCCCCACGTTCCTCACGCACAAATGACGCACGAAACGCACTCACGTGTACAGATGAACACGAATAAGCATCTCAGTCGCTACTTCGCTGTGTCTGGAAAGCACGCCCTCTTTGCAAACGGAGACTTTGCAACGATTGCGGTGACCTTTAGGCGCCCGGTAACTACAACATGATCATTGCGGTGAAGGCCCAAGGCCAGCCAAGGCATACGATTGTCCCCACCGCGAGATGAACGCACGCGTTAACGTCCACCCTGCTCCTTTTCCACAGGGCTAAGTACGCATGATAGATGAGAGTGCGCGCTGCCGCGTCGTGACGATGTGGCGCCGCGCGCTCATTGCACCATCTTGGTGGTAATACTCAAAGCACAATAGTTCCCCCCGAGGTGCCCATCACCAGCGGTAAGTGGTAGATATAAATAGCTTGCCGTTTGAGCGTTGAAGGAGCTGCTCCTTCGAGGCTCAGTGGTTAACGCCTCACACTCTCATATATATATATATATATATATAGTGAGTGGCGTTCACTCCGGCGGCAAAATCCAGCCGAAAGTGTCAATATAATTGTTATCGCATTAATAAGTTTTATTAAAAGTCCGGCGGTTTCCTGCCGGTGAGGCAGGAAACCGCCGTCAAAACTCCTGTCCTATCCACCCACCGTTGATGATGATGGCGGTGCCTCAGGTAACGGCTCGAAGTCCTTGGACCGGGGCGGCATCTTCGGCTTGCTGGACGGGCCAAAGCTGGTCGGCCAGCTCGTCGCTTCATTTAGGATGCAAGTGGGCAAGATAATCGTTTGTATGGTCAATATAAATTAGAAACAGGGAGAAAACATAAGTACACTCCACTTTCCTACTTTGCAGCTGTCCAGCACCCTCGGTGGCCTGCTGATCGTGGTGACCCAAATCATGGAGGTGTTCATCTTTCCCGATATCTTCCACAACATTCCCCCCGTGTTGTACGCTGCAACGGTAATCATGCCTGCAGCAGGTATGATGCTCGGCTACCTCATCAGTTGGCTTCTCAAGAGACCAGATGCCGTTCGGAAAACCATTGCCATCGAGTCCGGCATCCAGAACGTCGGCATGGGACTCACAATCGTCTCGCTCTCTTTCAAGTTTCAGGTGAGCAACTTAGCAGTGTCGTACATTAGTTATATGCGAAAGTGCGAGAAGGAATATTCGGCCCTCGAGAGCTTTGTCATTTCGGAAAGGCCTCACAGCTTTAGCTTCACAGTCTCCAGCATGCAGCAAGCTGTAAACTTGCCATAGCCATCGCTAACCAACATTCCGTACGTGGCAGGCACGTGGTCGGAATTTTTTTTTTTCGAGAAGGGGGAGGGCGGGCTCAAGGCCTAATTGTTCGAAAGGAAGTATGTTTATGGCAAATATGAAGAAAGTGTCCCTTGAATATACAAGGCGCCCATTATTAGAAGAAAATCAGAACAAAGTGGAGTGCAGCACAAGAGGCGAGTTAATCAGCGATGGAAAGCAAATTTTGACTCTGCAGTAAAGCTAGTGCGTGTGCACCAGAATGAATGCTTCCTACCAGAAAATCTCGGCCAAGAAGGCCCATACAGAGTCAGTAACGAAAAAACAAGTGACAAAAAAAGAAAAAAACGGGGGAGGAATTGCATGGGAATCGATCGAACACTTACGCGTGTGCGAGAATATATATATATATATATATATATATATATATATATATATATATATATATATATATATATCGAACACTTTCTGTGCCGTGCTTCCCGCACTTTGTCTTAACAACAGGCTTGCGAGTAGAACGAGAACCATTTTATGGCAGGAATTCTTTACATTACACACATTAGGGAAAACAATTTTATTGGACAACAAAGAACTAAAACACGAATGCTTCCCTGACACAAAAGAGGCAGAACGTTAACATTCACTTTAGCAAGAAATTTTAAAGAATGGTTTGGTAATTGTATTATAGTCAAGGACAATGCAAAAGGAAAAAAACAAACATGTAGCCTGGCCGAAGATAGCGGTTCACGCTACGATTTTCATGCGTCGTGGTTTTCGCTGTGTTTAGGAGAATTCTCCTGCACACAGCGATAGCTCTGCCGACACTGACCTGCATGTATGCGGTGAATGGAAATTAGACTATTAAGCCGTTCATCAGCTGTCCGGTTCCTCAAAAAAAGTCAGTTTCGCCAAAAGGGTGAAGCAATCAATGCTATAGCAGCATATTCGAATGTTTTACGAAGCAAGGCTAACATATTTAGGAGCAATCTTAAAATGCGCTTGCTAAGTAACCAAGTTCCCTGCGGCGCAGCCACAGTAGATGACCACAACAAGGCTCGTGCGTAGCGACTGAGTTGATATACGAAGAGAGGCTGACAGTCAACTCATTTGGATCCGATCTCACGTAACTCTACAAAACGCTGGAGTATGAGAACACGGCCACTCCAGGTAGACTTTTGACACTGCCTTTCTTCGTGTTGAGAGCGCAGCCCAAAGAAGCTTTCACCTGCTGCGGGGACACAAGGCGCGCATTGATCGTTGCCGCGATAGCGCAGCATAACCATAGCCACCCCCTTCCCTTCTTCGCTCACAAGATAAGCACGCGCGCAGATGACCCCGGCCGGAAAGGCAATGTTAACACCGCATGCAGAAAGAGGCTCCTTCACCTCATCCCCGTATATATTCGTGAATGAAAGCGGCGGCGGCGATTTAATTGCTATCGCAATAATGTCGAAAAGCTGCATTCTGCAGCAGCTGTACTCATCACTGGGTGCGTTGCCAATATCTTGAGGAGTGTGTGAATATTTGGGAGTTTGGGAAGAGGGCTTTGTCGCATTTAGCTAAAACATCCGTCGCAAAGCGAGAAAATTCGTCTTCTTGCATGGCCTGCTATTTAGTTTTCCAGATTTTTCATTCACCATTTAGTGTGAGGATATGAGTTGTCATATCTCTCAGGTGAAAATCGGAGGCCAGCTGCACAGATTCAAATTTGCCTTTGGAGGCGTGCTTTGGCAACACAAATTGCAAACTTTGCAGTGTCTTGCGTTGGTTTGTAAAGCGCGTTTGGAAGGAAGGTTTTAGGTCATTTATCGACGAAATCAACAAGGCTTGCCTGTAGTACTCTTCCGCTAAACTACAGTTGTAGTTAGCCCAGACCCCGTAGGGGCGTCTGTGCAAGCAGGCGTTAGGTGTATGGCAACACCACGGACCCGAGCCAACGGGGAGATTTAGACCTTCTCCCACGTTTCACCGTGCGTGGCCTAGCCGTGTCCGGGAAAAGGGGGATCCTGGAGGTTGCGCCGACGCTGGGTGCTTGGACCTTTAAGGCGCCTCTGGCAAAGACAGCACACCCCTTTGGCCCCGGCTTCACGTATATGGCCCCCCTGACCTGACCCACTCAGGAGAAATCGGAAGTCGCCTTTTCCTGCCTCTCCCTCCCTACATCTTCGTCTTTCTCTCACACTTTTTATCTGTCCTGCCATCTTCTCTTTTCCGTTTACTTCAAAATTTCCTGCCTGCAAAGGTTAACCTGGTGTAGATATATCTAACCTAGGGTAATTATAGGAGGTTATAGCGGCAATGCATGACTGGAATTTCCAAGTATTTGCTAGTCAACCTTGTAGCGTGCCCTTGTTGGACTCAGTGGTGGGTGGCCCCGACCACCACAACACTTTATGGCCTTCATATGAAAAATCCCCTTTCCGCCTTCCTAATCGCTCCCTGAAAAGGTGGCACACCGAACACACATTCATGCTCAACATACCAAAGCCAACCTTCCCAATGAACCATGTTATCCACAGCCAGAACGAAAAGGAGGCCGTCCAAGCGATTTCACTTTTCCTCGTTTTGAAAACTCTCACAGAAGCAATAGGTCTATGTTATAAAGTGACAAAGATGGAAATTGGCGTCTTCTTCTGAAGGTTCGTAACAAACCTCAATATGAGAAGCTGTCTAAACTTGTAGCGTTTGGGGAAACCCCTGTTTCAGAGGGCCCACAGAGGTCAATAAACTCTGTCCGCGGCGTGATTCCTGACGATGATCTCCTTGAACATTCTGAATGTGAAATGCTCGAAAGTCGACAGGACCTGGACGTTGTTGCGTTACGCACAGCTCGCCGCTTATCAGCCAGCACCAAAGTCTGGCTCATCTGCTCCGGACGTTAATCTGTTATCGCGCATGTGCCTTGATGTGCGTTCGCGCCCCCTTCGTCCACGGCGTGCCTTTATAATCGACTACGCACCACGCCGTTGGTCATTCTTTTGTACGTTTTTTGCGGCAAGTATGCCACCTTAAAACTTGTTATTCCTTGTCACGGCGTCTTCCTCTCCCGGCTTGGAGCCCGTCTCGGTCAAACATAATAACGTGGTCAAAGTCCAACGAATAACAATAAGGCACGACAACAAACAGATCCTTACAAAACACATAATAATTATCTTCGAAACCAGTGACCTACCAGAATCAATCGAAACCGGCTATTGCAATAATTAATCAATCTAAACTGGCTCTTTTGAAAAAGCTCCTCTCTACATACCACTACAACACCGTCTTGATGAACATAAATTCCAGTCCTTAATAGACGACCTTTTGGAAACCTATCTTGTCCTAGGGGACATTAATGCACATAGTAGCCTCTGGGGCGACTCTCGCTGTGATGCGCGAGGTCGCCTGATTGAACAGTTTCTTTTTTCTTCCGGCACGTGCCTCGTGAATTGAAAAGAGCCAACACATTTCAACATTGCTAAAAATACGTACTCGGCAATAGACCTCAGCATAACATCTCCATCACTCCTGCCTCTACTTAAATGGCAAGTCATTAATAATTCAAACGGTACTGACCATTTTCTTATACAGTAGACTCGCAATAATTCAAACTCTGATAATTCACACTTTTAGCTAATAAAGCAAAATTGAATTTTTTGATTGGCCCTCTATTCCTCCAATGTACTTAAAAGCTTCCTAATTCAAACCACATCATTCGGTTTATTCATACTTTTTGCGGTTCTATATCAGAAAATATCTACTGATTTTCTACTACTATTTAAAAATTTGTGTGCTTATATTATCCTAGCAGTCTAAAAATGAAACAGAAGCGAGCGCCTCAGGCCTTCAAAGGGCCACTCACCAGTCCCCATACCAAATTTTAGTTAGAGAGTGGAAGTTGTTGGGTGTCCGATGAGGAACATTTTGCCACAAAAATATTTTGAGTCGGATCATCACGAGCGGAGAAAAGGGGTTTTTTGAAGCGGCACGAAACGAGGATGAGAGGAGGCGAGCTCGAACCCCTTGCCGCTCCTTCACGTAGCCTTCGCCAGCCAAAAATCTTCCCCACCCTCTCAGGCATCCAACCCAGAGGGCATGTGCGCATGACGTGCCCAAACAATTCCAACCCCCGAGCACACGAGCGGCGTTGCTTTGTTGACCAGCGTTATTTTGAGGCCTTCTGCCTGTTTCTGCGGCATGGTTTGGAAACGCTGGCTTAGACGCGGTAGAATAGATGAGCACAATAAGCTAGAGCGCGAACGCATGGGAGCGTTCAACGGTGGTCATCTGCTCGATTCGCTGACCACGGGTACACGAACGCATACGAAGCGCCGACTCATTAGCCTCGCATCTCGTTGATATTCATGGGAGAAAAAATGGAAAAAAAGACGCTCACAATCCCTTATTGCGTCTCACTATTTATCGAGAGCTTTATTAATCTCTTCAAGCAACAAATTACATAAACTACGCATGTCGTGTTAAATAACTTTGCCATGTCACGTGTCACTATTTTCAACGTCACAGCAGAATCGTCTACATAGAGGACCAACGTCACTGCATTGCCGTGTACGTAGGGCCATTCATACGCGCACGTGATGCCCTCATTCTCTGGGCGCGCGCCGGCAGAAGGGAGGGGGAGCAGCGTTCATCTTGAAATTTGACTCATTTCCGCGGATCGTCGCGTTGCTAATTTTGGCAGACGTTATCATGAACGCCTTGTCTATGCATTGCACTTGTCAGCTCAAAAATAGTCAAACCTGGTGAGTGGCCTTTTAAGGTAAAAGGCTTTGCTAGTAAACAAATGTTATAAGTGAAGCACACACATGGTAAACAGTGATGGTATTCAACTAGTGTAGAGAGCTTCATTCTGAAGG